AGAACAAAGCAAGAAGATAACCGACAAAAGCAACCCAAAGAAGGGCAAGGATCGAAAGGAAAGCGGTAATAAATGAAAATAAAAAGTCCCTTCTGCTCTCAAGCGAAGGGAAAAAGTTGGTTGGTTGGCATGGTACATACTTTTACCTCTGGCCTTTTATAGCCTTGGCTTTCACTCCAACTCTCAGACCAACTACAAGTGAACCACATTAAGCACTATAATTTAATATTGCCCTTCAACTTTCTCTTCCACCAACAACCATACCCCGAAAAGGACACATACACACATACATACATAGAGAGTCACCAAGCAGCTTTGTTGCACAAAACATTAAACTACGCGCTTGCAAGTATATGAAACAGCTCAGGAGAAAGTGGCAAGCTTCCGTTGCTCACCTGAAGCACTTCAATTTTCACAGAGTAATAAACGACCGGATTACTTTTGATAGGACCCGACAACAAAAACTAAAATCCCCAAAACAAAGTTGGAGTTGGATACGTAGAACGTGAATCTCCCAGAGTTGGTCTGTCCACAGATGGAATATTCTTCACTGCATGTGGACAGACCAACAAGCACACCCTGGAATTGCAACATCAAATTATCTTTAGAGCTCCGTGCTGCAAATGTTCATTTCTTCTTCTTCTGTGACAACTGCCACGAGCACCAAATCCTGAGAGAAATTAATTGTCTTGGTCCTCCTTGCTTCAAACCCGTTAGAGTGGGACACATTATCGCAAGGGAGAGAAATTATCTGATAGGGTGGAGATTGAGATGATGTGAAGTGTCTGAAGAGAATGAAAAGCATTTCTAGTTTTATGTCAACTCTCATTATTAGAGTTTTAGCAGTAAGTAGTTAATGGACCAGTCTTTGTTTATTTTGCTGTCTCTCTCACTCAAGTTTCACAACTACATCAAGTAAAATGAAGGAAATGAGGGTGGTGGCCACCTGAGAAACTCCAGTCACTCCGAAAAAGCGACTCCATTAAAACATTAAAACTATACAAGTGAGAGAAAGTGCGACACTAGAAGACAATCAAAATGGGATCAAACATGGTAAACCACCAGATGGTGTCTCGTCTTCAAAGTCTCACTTAAATATGCATGTATTTATGAGACTCTAGATTTTAATACTTTAGCATAGGCACATACTAGTCGCTTGACTATTACTAATTTAAACGCCAGCTTCAATTTATCAGTTCCTAGAAAACAACATTGGACATCCCATCGGCTTTTTGAGAAGTTTCTGGCTTTCAAACACAATCAAATCACAATGCTTAAATTAATTATCTTACCAAGTCCTTTTAGCGATAATGAGATCACATGACACACAAACAGAGGAAGCGAATGCATTTATATTATTATATTTATTACTTGACTTTACAATGCGATATAGAGAACATAAAAAAGTCCAAAAAAATTCGCCACTAAAGAAAAATAAAGACCCATCATTCAATCATCAACTCGTTTTGCAGTATTTTTTCTCCTCTCATTCTATATCTGCATAATGTAAGTAAATCCATTTATTTTGTTCCAGTCTGCACAATTGTTGTAATGTTAATGTCCCAAGTGAAATCCGAAGCCAAAGAAAAGCTAAAACCACAAGGAGAGCACCGGGTGGTGTAGCATGACATTGCCATTACACTTCCTGGCATGACTTTTGAGCCGTGTGTTAATCGTTCCATATACGATATAGCTATGCAGCAGCTTCTGTTCCATTCCCAGTTTTAGTCGAGATTTACTTTTTTTAAGTTGTCTCTGTCACGTCAAATGTCAACTTGTGAGACTGGCTTCTGAGGCCTTCCTGGTGACTGACACACAACTTGAGGAAGTTTAAGTTGCAAATAAGAACTCCTCAGTCTTTGCGGTTCAACTATGTACACATGTACGAGTGGCGAATGAATATCATGGTAAAATTAAATATCATCTCTCATTTCATATACTGACATCATATCATAGAAAAGTGACGTTCAAAGACGAAAAACAGAACGGCAAAAGGAAGAGTCAAGTTAAAACTGAGCACGTCATATTAAGGAATTTCTCGTATGTAATGCTTTCTTAATTTTTTGGAAGAAGGGGCAACTCCGAGACTTTAATCTAATCGAAGCGAAACGCAGACTTTACTCTAATTAAATTCTGAAACTATTTCGGAAACATGACTTTAATATTTAGAGTGAAGAAGTCACAGTAGGAATTGGATTGTAAAATATGAATTCCATGCCTACCTTTTAGAAGCATGTTTGTTTTCGCTCTAATTCTCTTAGCGCGTCCGTCGACACATCAAACATTTATTAATACCGCAACTTGCATTCCAGTTAGAAATCTGAATGCCAAACCAGCAAAGCAAACAAAGAGCGGAGGAACTTGCTGAACAATAAACCATACACTAACCAGCAAAACCCAACACAAGTCGTCGTACGTATATGTATGCAAAGAAAAGTCATGAGAGGAAAGTAATGAGCAACTCTCTACTCATCGTCTTTGGAAACTCGTACCAAAGTAAAATAACTCCACTTATTTGGCTGCAGAGCCGCAACCCAGAGATGAAAATACAAAATCTTGAGCCGCCTAGAGTCAGCCCTGGCTGCCGTAGTGTTGAAAACTCTAGAGACATTTACATTGCATTACTACATGGCACCAACGCACACTAACCAACAAACTAAAACAGCACATGCACGGACGGATAAACATGAGATAAGGAAGAAACCTCAGTGAGGTAAAGTTGCAGAGGAGAGACGTCAACCTTATACGTACAGATGCTCCAGGAGATACGATACTAGAATGAAATTAGGAGAAAAACGAGACGTTCTAAATTTTCGTTTGCCTTACGTACATAAGTATTTACCAAGTACAGAGGGAGAGAGAGAGAGCTAAAAGCTACAATCTACGTATGTACGTATTTCAGGCAACCGTCCGTTTTCGGTGTCGAAACTAATTAAATTTCAAGTATTTCTTAAGCGACCAAACCAACCCGAGACAACAGCTCACCAAATGACACTCGATACAAAGGGAAGACCGAGCGACTGAGGAAAACTTCAGATAGATTCAGGGTGATGCAATATAAATGTCAGCTCCAGACTTTGCCTGCTATTGCCTCAGAATGCTCAAAGACGGAATAAGCAGCAATCAAAATAGCTGGCTACAATGCTATGTAGTAAATGCATAAGTGGAAACCAAGCATCACCACGACCACTAAGAAAGGAATTTGCTCATTTATGGGATTCCATCTACCAAAAGACCTTTTGTTAATCAACACCAAAAATGAGAGCGAGCTTCGGATGGTGCTGGGTTCGGCTACAAAACACAATTACGTTACAAAGATGCACGTTTGCAAAACAACGAAAATTATTTTGGCTTTGAAAAGGCGAAATAAAGTAGAGTTTGGGTAGTGTATTTAAAACGTATATACGTATGCGTATATGTATTTCGTAGTATGAATATATATGCGACAAACTCTTCTATTTAAATTCATATCACACTTAATCTAGTTAACACTTTCTGGAAGGGAAAACATCCCTATCTCTTGAAGCAATGCTTTATCTGGAATTAATTCATGCGTTATTTATCTTCGAGATTGGGTGTTCCTTTTCACAGGCTGGATGTGCATATAGATGCATACCAACTAATTTTGCAGTAGATAACATACGAAACTCGTACAATTCTAGTCTCAATACTGTCACGCTCTTTTCCCTTTCGTAATCATCTATTGATTTATGACCCAACCTGGATGGAATATTTATTTCGTTTCGCAACTCGGAATTGGATCTCGATTGTTACCCCAAATCTTTACTCCCGATCGGATTTGTCACACAATTTAACAACGAATTTAGAGAACATAGTCTTTTGTTTTTCTATCCCCAAGAAATATGTATGTACACATACATTACGTCTTTGCAATACGTACATAATATTACAGAACTAAAACTATAGCGCACAATTCATCTTGAGCAGAATGAGTTTTTGCGCAAAGTTATGCATTAAATGGCCAAAGTGAGGAAAGACCTGAAGCCACGGAGAAAGCAGTGGAGAAAGTAGCAGGAGAGAAATAGTGGAAGGAGATTACAACGCGGTACCACCACGTCGAATTAATTAAGGTGCATTGCATTGAGCCCGTGTGAGCACAAAACCCACGACACCGCAAGAGAACAAGTTACACTTTCTCCAAGTCCAAAACTCATACGCCGCGGTGCTACGGAAAGCAAGAGAGGTTTAACCTCAAGCTGAAAATCCCATATTACAAGCATAAAACTTAAATCACTCCAAGCGGTGGTCGACACTTTATTAAATACCAGAATACCACCATAACAGTCTTATTAGATGAATGCAAATTATTTTCACTTTTCACGAAAATCCAGATTACGAAGGAACAAAAGACACGAATTAAAATTAATGCATATATGTATGTTTACGGAAGGGTTAAAGGTTTTGCAAGGAATGGATCTCAAAAACTCAGTTTTCATATTCCAAGCCCGCATATTGCATATTTTACTTAAACCCTTTGTAAAAATAAACCAAAAACTTACTAGTACAGATATTTATGTAGTTTTTTATCAATAATTTTACGAGACGTTTTATTGAATGCACCACCTTAAAAATGAGTCTAGAGATGTGCATACAACTGACTGAATCGCTCAACAATTCACAAGGAAGTATGTATATACATACGTACAACTTTTACTTTTTAATCTAAACGTGAGTCTCAAAGTTCGTCATGATCTATGATGAAAAATGAACGAGCCGAATTTCCTAAGAGTAAAGATAAATCGTACCACAGGATCCTGCATGGAAATTAAATAGCTCTGTGGCCAGATTTATCTCAATTCTCTACAATTTTATGATTAAATCTCTCCTCAGATCTACCAACCAAGTTTGGTTGAAACTCTGCATCTCGAAAGAAGAAGGGGAAGAGAATTTTTGGGAATTTGGGAAGTATTCTGATTCGTTACTTTCTTCTACATGCATATAAAAATGGTCCACGAATGAATGATTTAAAATCCACTTACCTTGGCAAAATCGATTTTAAGAGTGCAGCACCCGCTGTAGATGTCTGCCCCATGTAGACTGTCCTTAGCTCTCTTCGCGCAATCAATGCTGTCAAACGTGTGGATTAGGTTAAGGAAATTACACATAAGAATGCCTGAGTTTTTTTAAAAAATACAAACATTTTTCATTCAAAATATAATTAGGTAAAGCAAGATCATTCTAGTATTTCAAATAACTAAATCCATGCTCGTGGAATATGAAACTTTTCAAATAACATTTCTCCTCGCATTATATTCCGAAACCAATACATCCATCCGTCTATTTTCTTGTTATATCTCCAGATATATTATTTTTCGATCGTAATATCAAAAAAATATTGCAGAGTCCGCTGTCGTTCACTGATGCGAACTCCAATCATAGAAAATTTTATAGCAATTCGATATCTAATATCAAATAGAATACTCGTTTCCTCAGCTCTGCACGGTTCTCAGTTTCTCTAAAATTCCCAATTTCTCTCTGTAAATGTTGAATGTAAAGCCTTGACTCAGATTTCATTACATTTCTTGTAGTGATTCAACATTCTATTAAACGGAGGATAAACATTACTCAATTCAATTTTATCAATCTCCTCCATCAAGCCGTCTTCAAGTTTAGCTCTACTAGAGAGCAAAAGTGGGAGACAAAGAAGCATGGAGCACGGGGAGTGTGTATGTACGAAGTGGAGGAGAAAGAAGAAACTCATAACGTCATTTGAACTGTGGAACATCTGTTTCACGAAGGAGAGAAAGTAGTAGAAAGTAGTCGTGATCGCGAGATTTTTATTTCCACCAGGACATTCTGCCAGATTCCACTACCAGATCTCAACATAACTATTTGGATTTAGATTTCTCTGCTGTGCCAACAAATGACATGACGAGAGGATGGAAAGAAATGCCTTCGTGTGCTACGCCAGAGTACCAACGAACTAACCAAAGTAATAATGACAGGAAGTAAAGTAGTGTGATGCTACGGAGAAATGGATCGTGACTACTGGTGCTGCAGCAAGCATAACACAACATGGGCCACCATCAAACTAAAGTTTTGTGATAAACATGAACTGATTAGAAAATTAGTGCCATCTGTGCCAATGGAGAAAGCAGCAGACAGATTCCACCACACGGTATCTATACTTACAACAATATCCGTCTATACTTTCTTTCTCCTAATAGAAAGCAGATAACGGAAAATAATTTTGAGATTCTTCCCAACCAACCAGTATCGCAATTCACATTCCGATATTCGACATCTGCTTCCATCCTGCTCCTCTACAAAGTGTGGTGTAGTTAGAATACCCTCATCCTACACAGCCGACAACTAAAACCCAATGAGCCGTCCAACTATTCAACTATGGTATTTGTTTTATACATTTCCTTATGGTTGGAGAAAGTAAGGGCTAATCGCTCTTTTCAGCTTCTTTCCTTTTCCTTCATCCGCTTTCAGTGCCGAAAAGATAAACGGATTAAGTCTGAATCCAATACTACAAACTCTCGCTCTCCTATTCCTACACGGACAGCATTATACATTGTAAGGGTGGCAATGGTGATGGTGGGCGGAAGGAGTTACCAGCATGACTAAATAGAATGCAAGTATTGAATTAATGCTAACCTAACGAGGAAAGTTTGCAGTTATTTCCTCCAAATTCAAGGTATTCAAGGACACACTGCGTATGCATTAAATGTGTCTGACTGAGCCGGTAAACCATTTTAAAAGTTTCGAAATTGGTTTCATTCAGAATTCACCCTCCCATAACTTTGGTGCTGCATGAGCTGAGTTGCTCTGACAGGTTTCGTACATAGGTATGGACATAATGCAAGCCAGCCAACTTGTACGAGTGAGGAAAACTTTCGGACCAAAGCTATTTACATAGTAAAATACTACCAACTTTCCTGTGTAGTAGCACAAAAACTTTTACAGTTTACCCCAGGACTTACCCTGAGCTTTATCATTATTAGTGTAGAGGAGTTTAAATCGTGATCGTCGTCGCCGTAAGCAGAGAATCACACATTCTCGCATGCAGGATATTTGGAAAAGTGATGCGATAAAATTTGATTTCCAATCTTATTTTGAGAACCTTTGCACACAAATGGGTTCTGAACTGTAACCAAGATATTTTATGTCTCAAGGGTTGCAAATTTCCATCTACGATTTACCAGAAACAATTTCCCGTCACCTACATATACAGCACCATCACTACTTACAGTGCATATCTCAGATAAATTTGGCAAGACTACGACTAATACATAATCTAATAAATAAATAAGCTATTGAACGGTGCTTTGAAAAATAACCACACATCCGCCACCACATTGTTGAGAACCATTAAAGATAAAACAAAATCGGGTTGCTTGCTTAAAATTCTGATTTGTTTGTTTAGTTTGGTTGTATGAAAAAGGATATTCGACCATGGCTTGGATTCCATGCTTTTTGAAGACGACTATCCTCTCAACCTTTCCATGGGGAGAAGAAATGGTGTGGAGCACGTCCTGAAATAAGAAAAGGAAGCGAGAATGTAGTACACATAGTCCAATTGCTTAAGAGAAAATTCAATTTCAGATTTTTTTCAGATAATAACATCGAATCTACGGCGCGCGGCGCGTGTACATAAAATAAACAAGAGATCAATCATTTCTGCCTGACATCCGTTTCGCTGTCACATGATGATAGACTTTTAACGGTAACAACTTCACTCGGGGGAATCAATCCATTACGCATCCCTTGTTGCACGTGAGCTTTTGTCGACAGGATTTATGTAAACAGGAAAATTGTTTGTAAAGTCTTCAATTTAGACGAAGCACGCAAAAGGAAAATGAAATGACTGATCCTGGGCAAAATTGGATAAGGAATATATTTCTGCACTTTGCTTTAGGGATTTCATGGTTTCATGGTGGGAAATATTGGTAGATAGATGGCTGGGTTCTTACCGTGGTAATTGGGTACATCGGATTCAGGATGGTGAACAGCAAGATGTGGTTAACACGTTCCGATTCTTCCCTGAAATATTAAAGATTTGTAATTAAGCAGAACATAGTAATTCCACGCCAGTTAAATATAAAATAGCCCTCAAGAACAGAACTGTAGATAATTATTTCAAATTTAATAACGTTTCGAGTGGATACAAAATTTCTATGCACGTAGACTGATGATAACCGAGTCATATCAATCTTGAAGCTCTGGAAAAGTTCATATTAAATCAAATTAAAGTTATTATTGAACTATTTAAGTAGTTTCAAGTGTTGAATGGAGGATCTTTCAAATTCAGTATTCACCATCATCACCACACAAAGTGAGAAAATATTTGCTTTTGTTTGACTACGAAATTGGGGACTTGTTCGTCCCCAATTCAAACACTGACTCATCGTATTTTCACTCCAATGTTCATTATGCAAATTGTTTGCAAAGTCGGGCCTTCTCACTCTGGTGCAAGCACAGCTACTCACATTATATAAGGTCAAGAGAATTCTAGAACAGAGTTAAAACGCTTGGTGAATTTACACTAAAAACAAAGCCCAGCCACTCTTCTCATTTTATACAAACGGTATATTTACATACATACTGAAAGTGCGCCGCTATTATTTTATTATCAAATGTCTAAACACATAATTTTTAAAAGTTCTAAAAAAACTCGAAACAAAAGGGACGTATGAGAAAGGACCAAGAAATCCCCCATCGGCGGATGAAGGTTAGGGATGGATGATGATGATGATGATCCCCCTCATCAAAAGAAATGGGAAAATCCCCAGAGACAAAAATCATTTCTGGGATGAAGCCGGCTTAACTCTGAATGCGGACAATTTTGGACTCAAAGTACTAAACGAGCCGGATTGTAGGATGAATGTGGATGTTGCAAGTAGTCTCGGTGGGATTATATAGCTAAAAGACGAGCAAAATTCGGTCCGATTGGATTCCTCTCTTTCCCCACAATTTTATAAATGTATCTGTCAAGTCCCTCACTCAAGAGCTGACTTGACTGTGGGAGAACCAGTTGGATGGCATGAAGGACTCTTGTGCGAATAAGAGGGGAGAAAGAGAGAAGACCAACGCATCACATCACATGATGCACGTCACTTGTCCAAACATTCTAAGAGAGAACCTTATATTGGTACACAGATACTTGCTGAGAGCTGTCCGGTCCAGGCACGAAACAAAAAACATCCAGACCTTTTTAATCTCAAAATAATCTCATATTCCAAAGTGATATCATAAATATATATGCTTTCACTGCTTCCCAGACAAAATGTTTTTAAGCACAAATGCACTGCCATTTAAAGTTTTCGATTTGTTATTGTTTGATTTGCATAAAATATGACACCAACATCCTTCATTGAAATATTATATTTAGCCTGATATATTTTTTGTGAGTTCATGTTGCATGACAGACTTCTATAGTTCTAAATAGGCTGGCATCGCTTAGAGTCCGAATTGGATGTCCAATTTCACCAATCCACTTTCTCCCTCTCCATCACATCCAATACACAAATCCAACTCGAAATTTCAATCTAATTCAGTTTATTCATGTGGAAAGAGAGTCACTCTTCCATCTCAATCCGTATTCTTCATCACTGAACTGTCCAGCTTTGTCCTGATCTCATATGTCCATTCTAGTAAATATCAACTCGACCATCCCACGGACAATCCCATCACTACCTTGACGTTTCACTCGACTATGTATGTATGTCTCTCCAGGGTTAAACATGTTCTGCATTTGAATGTTTTCTTTCCACGTTCAACGAAGCCACTCGTTTTCAGAATCACATCAACTCATACATCCACAGCACAGTAGTAAAGCAGACAGAGTGCGAGAAAGAACAAAGACCGTGAGGATCAATAGTTTGAAATGGGATTCAGTTAAATCTGCCCACTCCTCATTCGCACGTTTGGTATTGATGACATCGAATTACAAGGAGGAAGAGAAATTGAACTACCAGCCGTAAAAGGAGTATAGACAAACTGTACATGTATACCAAAACGTAGCGAAATATGACCTGGACAAGATGACGTGAACAAAGTTCCAAAGACCAAAAGAAAAACATCAAAAGGGACTCCCAACCAATGCGCAGTGAAACATTGAACACTTTCGGTTCTTACATTGTTCGACATACGATAATTGTGATTTCAAATATAACAAGGTTGCTAATGGTGGAGGCCACACATGTGAATAGGTTGTTTTTTCTTAGGTGACGCTATGGTGGTACAACGGTTAAAAAACAGCTAAGTGTGCATCCCTCCAATTTTTCTAGAGTACCTTACGCTACACCGTGCGACGGATTGAACTTTTTGTGGCCACGCGCATTTTCAACTTTCCCGTAAGGATATCATGTGTTCTCTATATCTCTGTTATTCCCCATAATATCCATTCCTGGTAAGTACTAAAAAAAGTTCAAAAAATTAGAATTATTTTGATAAAAAAAAATTCTGCTATAAGTTTATACTTTTGGCATGAGCGGGGTTCAAAGTTGGGATTTACAAGGGTAGTGTCACAAGTGATAATCGCGGATTTCACATACAACACATCAAAATGAACACAATATTTGTTATAATGAACTGAAATTAACTGAAATGTGATTACTAGTCATAATACATGATATTATAGCACGATAATGCAATGTTCGCCCGATTTTGGTAAAAAAATAAATATTGGAAAAATAAATAATATTTGTGTCATATATGATTAATTTAACTAAAATATTTATTTATTTCGCAGAACCGAGGAATCGAAATATGAAGAGAAGCTTCCTTCGTGGACATGATGAAAATTACTTGGTTAAATGATCTAGGATGAATGTTTGGCAATTATCGTTGGGATGTTCGGTGTTATTGGTAAATGAGTTAAAATAATATTCTTGTTTCAGATTACAATTGATTACGGTAGCGACACGGACATTGACATGGATTGGACACCAATTTCGGAAACACCAAACACCGTGGGGGGCCCATCGGTGGGAAGTCAGGAAGCTGAACCCGGAGTGTATGATGATCTTTCCCATACGGACTCCACACAGCAACCTGACGGACCTAAATCGGGCTATTCGTTAAAAAATGAGCACAATTAAAGATAATGCCGGTGGATCTACGAATGACGACTCGGAACAGCCTTCTTCAGACCGACCTGACTTGATGGTGTCGCTGGCCTCAAGTGATAAGTCTCCAGAAACAAGGACACACGACATGGAAGATGACGACACGGAAGGAGTACCAACAATTATAGAAAAGAAGTTTTTGGCCGAAAAGGTAATATAAGGGTTATTTTATTCTCAAAATTAATAAAAAAAATTTACTGTTTTTTTTACTTAAATAATTAAAATCATATGGGTTTCAGATAGTAAATTTAAAAACACCGTCTGAACGAGTTAATTTTATCAAGACAACTGTATCAGAATCTTTACCTGCAAGTTTGAACGATCTGCAACAGGATCACTTGGACAGATTAGCAAGAGCTTGGGCCTTCAAAACAGTCGCCAAATATCAGAAGTGCGCAAGAAGAATGAGTTTTTTCTTGGACAAGGAAAAACAATACTTGGACGGTTATTTTGTCTTGCCTAAAAACTTCTTCCCTTCAGAAAGGACCAAGCGACGAAGGGTTGAAGAACTTGAGAAATCCTTGTCCCCTGAGGATCCTGGCGACCTTGTCCATGCAGTTTCTAGGACGTTAAATAAGCACGGACATCCTGAGGCAGCCAGAATTATCAAAAAATCCCTGTCACCATCGAAACAGCAAGTAATACTGGATTCCCTCAGCAAACCTTCAACAACTCCAACCCCTTATACTGCTGAAGAAGCATTGTCCCTAATTTTGGATTTGGGATTGACACAAACACAGTACCAGAGGCTTCGAGAAGGAGCTAACCAGCATGGATGTCCTTTATATCCATCCTACCATGAAGTTCAAAAGTGCAAGATTTCCTCAAGACCACCAGCGGATGAATTGTGCGTGACAGAGTCCTCAGCATCAATTCCATTGAATTCCCTGTTACAGCATACTGCATCTCGTATTGTCAATATGCAGAATTCGGTCTTGCTTCAAATATTTGCCTCTCAACATATATGTGAGATCAAAGCAACACTAATTTGCTCATGGGGATTTGATGGATCATCTGGACAATCTAGATACAAGCAGAAGTCTTCAACATCTTTTGACGACTCCTCAATATTTGCAACAACTTTGACTCCAATCAGATTGACTGCCGCTAATGGAACTGTAATTTGGAACAATTCTTCGCCTCAATCCATTCGATTTTGCAGACCCCTACACCTGCAATACATCAAGGAGTCCCAGGAAAAAATATTGAACGAGCAAAAATATGTTGAAGATCAGATTGCAGTTCTCGACCCAATTGAAGTATTTGTGGACCTGGGGAAAACCATCACCATCAACTTCGACTTGAGATTTACTGTAATTGACGGAAAAGTATTATCAGCAATTTGTGGGGTCAAATCTTCAATGTGTTGCCCGATTTGTGAAGCAAAACCTTCAACATTTAATTCCATCGAAAATATTGGAAAAGGGTTGTTTACCCCGAAGCCCGGGCGTCTTAACCATGGTATCAGCCCTCTCCACGCTTGGATTCGACTTTTGGAACTTTGTTTACACATTGCATACCGCTTGGATATCCAGAAATGGCAGGCACGTGGACCTGTGCTTCAGGCAAGTGTAAAGAAGAGGAAGGAAGAGATCCAACAGTTACTGCTGAAAGAAATGGGACTGCGGGTGGATTTTCCAAATAATACTGGCAGTGGAACATCCAATGATGGCAACACCGCTCGTCGAGCATTCCGAAATTACGAAGAGTTCGCAAAGTTGACTGGATTAGATGTGGAGTTTGTTCGAAGGCTCTGGGTCATCTTGGTGGCCTTAACTTGTCAACTCCCCCTCAACGCTGACAAATTTGGAGAGTATTGCTTCAACGTAGTACAATATTACCTAACTTTGTATCAATGGTTCCCGATGCCTGCATCAATGCACAAGATCCTGATCCACGGAAAGGACATCATAA